GCTAGGGATGTAGCTAGTGTGAATGAAGACCTGGCTTCAATGTCCAGCTCCCTTCCCCCCAAATATAGTTTGCTAGTGTAAAGTCCTGTGGGGTTTTTTCTTTGCCAAAAACAAAAATTAAAAGCTCTGTCTCATCCTCATTCTTTAAAAATACTGGTGGCCTGACAGCATGCTAACTGTTCACGAGCTGGACCACGGGACAGTCACGTAACTAACACTGGGGACTCGGCCGCCTTTCCTCACATCGTGGCTGCTTTCTTCTCCAAGGAGGGACCAGGAAGGGGGCTCCGGGCCCCAGAGGTCCTCGGGGAGCCTCCTGAGTACCCTGGGTTCTTCTCCCCTGCAACGGAACCAGGTCTGAGCTTCACACTTCCACAGGCCCCTGGCTGCTGTGGGTGGCGTGGGGTGGCATGGCGTGGGGTGGCACATGGCCTTGTGGTCCGCCGGCTGCACCGTGTTGATACTTGGACCCGGGGACATCTGGCCTCCTCCAGTCGTTCCTCAGCATCCGATTCCAGAATTGCCCTTCCACCCGCGCTGCTGAGCTCCTCGCTCTCCTGCCGCCCCACAGTCTGCCCTCCCGGGCTGAAGCCAAGCTGTTCACCCGGGCGCCCCAGCCCTGCTCACTTCCCCACAGCCTCAGCGCCTGACGCCTGCGCCCACCCTGCCCAGAGCTCTGGTCCTGGCACTGCAGCCTCCCGTGCTTTGATCACCCCGCCAGGACGTCCTCCTTTGCCGCCTCTGGCCCCTGTGATGATGCCTCCCTCAGTGGCACCACACACACGAGCTCAGCCTCAACTCTAACATGCGGGCGGGTTGTACGGGGAAGGCCCTCACGGACTGTGAGAACTGTTTGGGATTTTTCTCTCAGAATGAGATTTCTCCAGCATTAGTGTTAAATATTATTACCAAAAAAATTAACCATAGCAGTGTGAAGGGGTAAAGACAGGAAGAGGCTTGCAGATGCCATAAACCAGGCAGCCAGTCCTAGAACCAGCACAGTCTGGGTTTGAATGCGGCACCAAGGTGACAGGCAGGTCAGGGCCACTCCTTGCCCCAATTTTTTCTCCTGCGATATGGGGACATAAGAACCATTTGTTAGCCAGGTGTGGTGGGGCGCACCTGTAATCCCAGCACTCAGGAGGCTGAGGCAGGAGGGTCACAAATTCAAGCCAGCCTGGGCCACTTAGCAAGACCCTGGCTCAAAATATGAAGTTAGAAAAGGGCTGGGAACTTAGCTTAGAGCAAAGTCCCTGGCTTCAATCCCCAGTACTCAAGGGGGAAAAAAAAACCAGCATCATGACAAGGGGAGATAAAGATGTGAAAAGCAATAAATAATGTATTTTATTAGTAGTATTACTAATGAAAGAAACAATGCAAACCAGACCAGGTCAGACTCATTGTGCCCCGAATTCCCTCACTAATCAGTCACAAGTGCCCCTCTGGGTTTCGGTTTTTTTTCTTCTTCTTTTTTTTAGTACCAGGGATGGAACTCAGGACCTTGCGCTTGCAAGGCAGGTGCAGCACCACTGAGCTAAATCCCCGGCCCTCCTCTGGGTTTCTCTATAAACTGAAGTCCCTGAGCACATTGCTTACATTTAAACCCCAGAGTCCTAGAGTAGGGGTGGTCCCTAACTTGTTTCCCATCCTGAACCCCCCTGACAGGTGGCCTAACCCCATGCCCAAGGACTCCTTGATCCCAGAGGTGGCCTGTAGTAACCCTGGCCACATGCAGGACTCTGAGGGGTTTTTGTGTTTGTTTGGGTTTTTTTTGGTACCAGGGATCAAACTTGGGTTCTTGCGCTAGCGCTAGCGAGGCAGGCGCTGGAACCACTGAGCTAAATCCCCGGCCCTGGTTGTTTTTTTTGGGGTTTTTTTTTTGGTGACAGAGTCTCACTGTATAGTTCAGACTGGTCCTGAACTCACTATGTAGCCCAAACTGGCCTTGAATTCACAGTGATCCTCCTGCCTCAGCCTCCTGAGTGCTAGGATTATAGGTGTGCCACCATACCTGGCTCTGTTTGTCTTTATTTATTTATTTATTTATTTGAGAGAGGGTCTCTGCTATGTACTTCAGATTGACCTTGAACTCACTGTGTAGCCCCAGAACTCCGGTGATCTTCCTGCCTCAGTTTCCTGGATTATAGGTGTGCACCACCATGCCCTAGGCTCAGAAAATTTGGTCTCAATCCCAGTCCAACCTATCAACCAGAATCTTAGAAAGATAGAAGGAAAATTCATGTCCCTGGGCAGATCTGATCTGCCTTAGTTCCCAACCCTGGCCTGCCCCAGGGATCCCCTGGGGGTGGGGCAGAGAGGGCTAGAGTTAGAGAATAGTGAGGGACAACACAGATCACCCAGTGCTCAAAGGTCACTTTGAGGATGACAGGATTTTCTGCTTGACCTGCTGAGGTGCAGGGCGGGTGGGGGAAGGGGAGGGACTTCGGGAGCTGTCTCCACCCAGGGGCAGGGGTGATCTGACACTACAAGAGCTACTAGGGCCAGGGAAGAGTTAGCTGCTGCTGCGTGGCACCTCGTCCCAGCTGCAGGGAACCTCAGGGACTCTGCAGCAAGAGCCACCATGGGCTGCAGGGAGTGCTGTTCAGGCCGGGCCTTCAAATGGGCCCTGGCTGGCGGTGTCATCACAGCTCTGGCGGTAGCTGTCAGCATGGTCATCGCCTTGACGCTGAACCAGGGTCCCCAGTCAGGTAGGTGCCCCTCACCCCGTGCCACCTCGACGGTCTGACTTGCCTTTCCCTTACCCCAACCCTACCAAGGCTTCCCCCCAGCACAAGGTCCCATCACTTTCTCTCCTTTTCAGTGGCCTGGAGACACCTCCTGCCTCCTGGGCCCTGGGATGGACCCTCCTTCTGGGGGAGTCTTACCTGTGCCTTCCTTATGCAGGGCTCCTCGGTCCATCTGCACCCCAAGCCTGCATCCTGTACCCTAAGCCTTTATTTTTCTGGTACCAGATTGAAAGTATTTTTTTTGTACTGGGGATCGAACTCAGGACCTTGTGCTTACAAGGCAGGCACGGTGCCACTGAGCTGAATCCCCGGCCCCATCCCCAAGCCTTTCTGAGGAGTCTCCTGTCACACCGGCCACCTCTCCCTCCTCCAGCCTTGCCTCTGAGGCCTCTGGTCTCACCTTCTTGCTCCTGTGCCACAGCAGCCTTCCACACCCGCTCGGTTCCTCCACCCCAGCCTGCGTTCGCCAGCTGTGCTTGCTCTGCAGCTGGGCTTTCTAACAACCCACTCAGGCCACAAAGCCCCTGCCCAACTCTGGCTGCCGCTCAAAGCCTTCAACTTCCTGACCCCCGACATCTTTCCCCATCTCATACTGTCCATTTTTCTGTATTCCACCTGTACCAGGCCAATGGCTATTCTTCCTCCTTCTGCTTTTTTTTTTTTTGGTACCAGGGATCGAACTCAGGTCCTTGCGCCTGCGCAGCAGGCGGCGAAACCACTGAGCTAAATCCCTGGCCCATCCTCCTGCTTTTGATGCTGAGGATGCAACCAGGGACTCACACATGTGAGGATGGTGCTTTACCACTGAGCCTCATCCCTAGCCCAGGGGCTGCTCTTTTAGACAAGCCCACTCTTTGCAAGTCTTCACTTATGCTGGTCCTTCTGCCTGAAGTCACTTATTCTCTGCCTTCTGACAAATGTGCACCCATCCTGAAATGTGCCCTTCTGTGTGAACTGCTTTCCCGAGTGCCCTGGGCCAGCAGTTTGTGTCCTTCCTCGCAGCACTGGGGGCCCTGGGTCCCACTGTCTCTCTGCTGGGCCACGTGCTGGTGGGGGCCCAGGGAAGGAGATGGGATGACTGGAGAAGAGCCCGGGCTGGGGCAGGGCTGGTGCTGACAGCCCTTGGGCGTTTGTTCCAGGCTGTGAGGTGGACGCGGTTTGCCGCCCCGAAGCAGACATGCTGGACTACCTGGTGAGCCTGGGCCAGGTCAGCAGCCCGGATGGCCTGCTGGTCAGCTGGACCCATGGAGCCAACAGCCGGGACAAGATGGAGGAGGGCCTGAGCAGTAAGTCCAGCTGCTGGGCAGCAGGGGAGAGGAAAAAGAGGGGGGCCAGAGGCATGGCCTAAACACTGTGGCCACTGTGGCGTCATGACAGCACTTTGCATGTGCTTGTCACTGCACCTGAGGAAGCGGGACTCAGGACTCGGGGCACTGGTGGTGACTTAGCTCAGATTTGGAGCAGATGTCTGATGCCAAAGCCGTGCTGCCCTGGCCAAGCGCTCTCCCTTGGCCCGTTGGGTGCCCGCTCTCTTCCTGTGGAGCCCTTTGTCCTTAAGGACAAAGGAAGCCAGAGACTTGAGGAACTAACACAAACCATGAATGTCAGAGCCTGTGTGGCGTCTCCGAGTCTCAGGTGCAGAAAGATTACAGCAACCAGCGGGCTGCAGCTCGCTGGATCCCCACACACACACCACACAGGGCTCTCCTGGGGACCACACACCTCAGAGCACTAGGGAGGCTTCCTCTCTCAGGTCTGGAAGCAGATAGGCCTGAGCGGTGGTCCTGGGCCGGCAAGGGAGGAGGCCAGTCTGGAGGTGAGCAGGCCTGGCTGTGTCCCCAAGACCCTTGAGTAAGGCCGGGTGTGGTGGGGCACGCCTGTCATCCCAGCCCTGGAGGCTGAGGTAGGAGGATCACTGACTTCAAGGCTAGCCTGGGCTACATAGTCTCAGAAGAGAAAACAAGCGCCTCAGGGGAGGCACAAGGCACCAAAGGATCATGAGGACACAGAAACGTGGGTCCCTTCCCCACAACACAGCACCACCTGCCCCAGACTGGAACTGGCTCCTGTAGGCTTGGGGCGGGGCTCATACCCTATTTTTGCCAGGCTGGGGATGGAGCCCAGGGCTTCACATGCACATATTAGCAAACCCTCCACCACTGAGCTGCATGCAGTACTGGGCCACCCTCTTAATCTGCCAGGAGCTCTTGGGCCTGGCTTCTCCAGACCCCATGGAGTCCCAAATCCTTTGGACCCCTCTCCCTCATTCCCATGTAGCCAAAAGTCAAGGTAAGAGGGTAAGCTCAGCGGTTCTAGTACCTGCCTCAGAAGCACAAGGTCCCAAGTTCAATCCCCAGTACAAAAGGAAAAAAAATGACTTAGTTCTTCCTCTTCAACAGGCAATTCCATGGTCTTGGAGGCAGACGTCAATACAGAAGGGCTCAACACGGCCAATGAGACAGGCGTTCCCATCATGGCCCACCCGCCGGCCATCTACAGTGACAACACGCTGCAGCACTGGCTGGAGACAGTGCTGTCCCGTTCCCAGAAGGGTAAGCGCCTTTGGGGCTAGAGGTCCCTCCTCAGGGAGCGCTCTGCCTCAGCTTCCCCTCCCGATGCTCCAGAGCCCAGCTCAGGGGAGATGGGGCTGTGGGGAGCACACATTCAGCTCCAGTCAGTCCCAGCTGGACCCACAGAGGCTAGAAGTGCACGGGGCACTGCGCTCCCTCCCGAATCCACAGACCAGGTACTACAGGCTCCAAACCCAACCGCGCCCTGCTGCCCTGGGGTCCCGTTGCAGTTACATGCAGGATCTGGGCACCATCTAACTCCTCCCTCTCCCTCAGGTGCTGGGAATCAAACCCAGAGCCTCTTGAACACTGCACAAACACCCCACCACCAAGCCACATCCCCAGCCCTCTGTCTGTCATCTATCTCTCTTATCTGTCTATGCAAGACTAGGGACTGAACTCAGGGCTCCACACTAAATTATCTCCTCAGCCCTTTTCATTTGCCCTGTTGGGACTCAAACCTGCAACCCTCCCACCTCAGCCTCCTAAGTATCGCGTGGCTGGAATTACAGGCCTAGGCCACCTCTAACTGGAAGCCCAGTCCCAGACACATGATCTCTCCTGGACCCCTTCCTTATTCAGCTCTCTTCCTTGACTATGATTCCCACACCCTTGGATGGCCTTTCCCCGCTTTACACCTCCCTGGTGCCCATTGCCCCAGCCTGGTCCCCTCACTACCCTGGTGGGCATTCGCTGGCTGGCTCCTGTCCCTGCCTGCACTGCTCTCTGCTCTCTTCCTGAGGGTCAAGTGACCTCCTTTGGGGCTCTGGTGTCTTGGGTCCCTCCACACCTGCTCTGCCCAGGAATCATGGCCCTTCATCAGCTGCCACTAGGGTGGCACCTGCTGCCCTTCTCCGGGCTGGCTCTGCTGCCTGTGTGGCAGCCATCCTTACCCTGGGCCTGGCCTTCCTGCCCTCCCACCCCCATCCTGGCCCCTTGGCCTGTTCCTCAAGCCCTGGCCTCCTCCCTACAGGCATCAAACTGGACTTCAAGAGCCTCAAGGCTGTGGGCCCCTCGCTGGGCCTCCTTCAGCAGCTGACGGACGCCGGCAGGGTACGGAGGCCCGTGTGGATCAATGCCGACATCCTGCCTGGTCCCAACAGTCCCATCTCAATTCCGGTCAATGCCACACAGTGAGTGTTCATCTCTATGGAAGGGGACTCTAGGGGACCTTTGCTGAGTTTGCTTCTAGCCTCACCTCTGACCCTTTGCATGCTTCCTCGACCTGAGGCCTCTTCCCCTTTTCTGAGGAGCCTCAGCCTGGTCACTGCTGCCCTTAGAAACATCCCTGGCACCCCAGGCTATGGAGGGACTTCCTGTGGGCTCACCCCTCCCCCAACTGCTTCCTAACAGCCCTGACCTCATTGGGCAGTCACCATCGGCTTTTGAGTTTGTCATCCCTGCTACATAGGGGACTTCTGGACAGCAAGCAGGCCCAAGGCCTCCCTGCTCCCCAGTGACAAGCCCAAGACTTGGCTGACTCCCTCCCCACCCTCCTGCAAGTCTAGCCCTGCCCATCCACAGCAGCCCTGGTGAGCTCCAGCCATGTGGTGCTCTGCATCTGCAGAGGGTTAAGGACCGGGTACACTCAATTTGTTACTTACCTGGCACGGCCAGATTAGTAGTTTCTCCTTCCCGTTTGTAGATGCAAAAAAGCTCACAGGAATTGAGGCTCAAGTTGTCAAATGTTTATTATGTGTCCCAGGCATGGCTTTAAGCCCTTACTTGCAGAATATCATTAACTCTTACAATGAGAACTTGGTAGGTACTATGCTTTTCATTTTATAAATACAGGCACTGTTTGGTAGAAGTCACATGACCTGCCTAAGTCTAAAAGTGGCAAAGCAAAGATTCAAACTGAGGCCTTTCTGGTGCTAAGCTCTGTGCTCTTTGACCCTCCATCTGACCCTCCACCCATCTGTCTGTCCAGCCACCCAGCCAATCCATCCAATCCATCCACCCAACACACGAGTGCGTCTGGGAAGCAGCAGTTTGAAAATGTAGACCACAGCCCAAGATAAACATGGCTCATCTCTTGCAGTGTTAATTGTACTCATTTCCCTCACTGGGGAGGGGGTGATCAGGCAATGCCATTTGCCTATGAAGATTTGCATCAGGGCAAAATTCAAATAAATTTTTTAAAATGACTCTTTAAAGACCTGCAGCTGGCAGAGTCCAGACCTGCACCCCTTGGGGCTCGGGTCCAGCCGCTTCTGCCTGTGTGGGGATGTTCTAAGAAGGCTTGCCCTTCTGGAAGGGATCCTGTCTTAGAATCTACCCAAGTCAGTCAGAACCTAGACCCAGACTTTGACTCCAAAGTTCGTCCTCTGTGGGACCACAAACGGCACTCCTGTTGTGTAGGCTTTGCTGCCACCCTTATATCACAGACCCCAGGGACCCTGCCCCTTCCTCCCACTGAACCCCCAAGAGGGAGGGAGGGGCCAGTGGGGCTCTTCCAGCCAGCATCTGTTGCTCTGCAGGTTCCTGGCGCTGGTGCAGGAGAAATACCCCAGGACCACCCTGTCCGTGGGCTGGACCACCCGTTACTTAGCCCCACTGCACACCAGGCCTTACACCAAGGCCATGTTGGAGGAAATGCATGCGCTGGTGGGAGCCGTGCCACAGAAGGTCACCTTCCCCGTGCGGGCTGTCATGGTGCGGGGTGCCTGGCCGCACTTCAGCTGGCTGCTGGACCAATCTGAGAGGTAAAAACCCTGAGCCTCCCATCACAGCCCTTTCTGGCTGCAAACCCATCCCCAGACTCTGATTATCAGGGCTAGAAGGGCCCTAAATACCACACTGGCCCCACCCGCCCCCCCGTCCCTGCCCAATCCCCTCAACCCCAGGGAAGGTCCGGTGCTCAGGGAGGAGGGGCTGGTGGGAAGCTAGGCTGGAGGACAGATGTTCCCTCCTGGGCCTGTCTAGGGTCCAATCCTGAGCACAGGAGTGGGACCAAGGGCCTTCCAGGTCCCAGGAAGGCACTGACCCAGCTCTCTGAACGCAGGTACACCCTGACACTGTGGCAGGGCAGAGCTGACCCCATGTCAGTGGACGATCTCCTCTACATCCGGGACAACACGGAGGCTCACCGAGTCTACTACGATCTCTTCGAGCCCATCCTGTCGCAGTTCAAGCAGCAGGCTTGTAAGGAGGGAGCCTGGGACAGGGCGTGGGCTGACTGCACAGGGCAGCCCTTGGTGGGCACCGGGGCAGAGCTGAGAGGAAACGAGGAAGCCTGGGTGGAAGAGGAGGCAGGAATCTTTCTGAGTCCCCGTTGTGTGCCAGCCCTAGGGTGGTATGCTTTCGAAGCTTCACACAGCCATGAAGCTGGCATTCCAATTTAGCAATAGAGAAATGGAGGCTCAGAATAGCTAAGGAATTTGTAGTCACCCAGCTTGTTCAAGGCAGTTTAGGCGGGAACCTTGCAAAGTCCAAAGCCTGCATGTTTCCCAGACATTTCAGAGAGCACAGCGCCTCCTAGTGCCTGCTGTCATGATCCAGAAGCTCCTCTGCAAAGCCCTGGTGCCCTTGACCCCTAGGAGAGCCCACAGTGAGGCCATCCCAAGGGGTCCCATCAGACAACCTTCCTGCCAGGGGAGCCACAGTGACAGGGAGGGATGCCTGCCAGCTTTGGGGCCAGACGGCTCTGGTTCCACCAGCTCTCACTGCTACAGAGCCTTGGGCAGATCGTCATCTTATAATCAATGAAGTGGGAAATGGCAGCTACCTGGTGGCTGAGATGAGGCTTATAGAGTATGTCTGGGCCTGGGCACACAGAAGGCACTCTGAATGGCAGCTACTTCATCCGGGTACTCTGGGGCCCCACAGTAAACGCCACGAGGAAGCAGATGTACTACACAGGCGGCAGCCTGAAACCTCTTCTCCAGCCTCAAGGGGCTGACGGTCTGAGCTTGGAGTGGCTGGTTCCAGAAGTCCACAGCAATGGGACAGCAGCAGTGCTTACCCTCCCAGGTAAGTGCCTACAGCCCTGGTGCTCCTAGCTGATCTCTGGGGGTATCCTATGCTTGAGTGGGTACTGTGGGTCTGTTACCATGGCAACACAGGCCCAGATAAGCCACATAATGGGTGGGAGGGAGCGTAGTAGTGTCCAAGAGCAGGGGACACCTGGCCTTAGTCCAGCGCCTTCCAGTCCTCAGCCACGGGTGCTATAAGATGACTGGGTACAGGCCCAGGTCTGAGCCTGACCCAAAGGCCAAGGGCTGACCTAGCAGCTGATTGTCAGTCTGGGTACCAGGCATGGCACGAGGAGCCCAGATCCAAGCCAGCAGATTCCCAAGAGGCGGAGCACCAGCTCCTCTTCCTCCTCCTCAGGTGTCCCTGTACCCTCCACTGTGCCTCTAACGAGGGTCTCTAACATCCCACGGTGGCCCAACCACAGCCCCTGTTCCTTCTTGCAGACAAAGACGGCATGATCCTGCTGGACGTCCACCTCCAGAGAGTTGCAGCCAGGGACCCTGTGCCCGTTGTACGTGTCCTGGAGGGCCATTCCCTGACGCTGGAGTCATCCCTGCTGCAACTGGCCATGCGCCCTGGACGCTGGGGAGTCCACATGAACATAGCAGAGCCCGAAGCCCTCCGGCCAACCCTGACCACACTGGCACGCCTCTCCTCCCTTGGCCACCTGCCTCGCCCTGTGTGGGTCGGGGCCACAGTCTCTCATGGCAGTTTTGTGGTCCCTGGACACGTGGATGGCAGAGAGCTGATCACTGCTGTAGCTGACATTTTCCCCCATGTGACAGTGGCCCCAGGCTGGCCTGAGGAGGTGCTGGATGGCGGCTACAGGGAGCAGCTGGTCACAGATATGCTGAAGTTGTGCCAGGGGCTCTGGCAACCTGTGTCCTTCCAGCTGCAGGCAGGGCCACTGGGCCAGAGCAAGACAGACGTAGTGGCCAGGCTGCTGGCGGCCTCCCCTAGGGCCACTGTCACTGTGCAAAACAGCCACACCAGGAGCAGCCCTGCAGCTGTGCAGCTGGGGCTGCTGGTGGCCAGGGCTGAGGACAGAAGCCGAGTCTACTACAGGCTGCCCCGGGGCCAGCGCCAAAACTTGCCGGCAGACGTTGGCAGGAACTGATTGCCTGGCAGTGCTGGGCCAAGGCTTCCGGGGGAAGCAGGATGAATAAACCTTCCTCCTTGTGCTGTGCACAAGTCCTTGGGCAGGATGGGGTGGGTGCCTACAGGGTCTGGAGGCTGGGGGCCAGGTCATTCCGGTTGTCCAGGAGGAAGTGTTCGCACGCCTTGAATGTGGAGTAGAATTCTGAGGACAGGCCGGACACATTGGTGGTCACGTAGTTGAGCAAGCCAGGGGTGGCCTGGTTGTAGTAGGACACCTGCAGGGCAGAAGCCATGCTTGGAAAGGGACAAAGGGAAGGCAGGGGGCGCTGGGATGCCCAGCTTCCGGGAGGGCAGCAAACACAAGCCAGCTCCCTGGTATCTTGGGGGTCAGTTAGAAAACTGTCCAGCTGCCAGGCATAACTTCCTCCACCAGGTTCACCTTAACCCTCCCTCGGGTGTTGACAGTCACCAGCATCTTCCCTGCCAGCCAGGAGCCCCTGGTGGGTCCCCAGAAACCCAGCACTGAGTCCTCTTTAATTAGGGCACTGCGGGACCACAGACACTCCAGGCATCAGCCCAGGGACTGCTCCAAGGTGCTCCTGGTACAAGTGTGTTAATGTAGCAGCCACTGGTTGAGTCCCCACCCGGGCCAGCCTAAGGCTGCAGAAGCTGGGGGCCATGCAGGAAGCTGTGGCACCCCCTCCAGCCTCCTGCCCACCTTTCCAATCAACACCGACTGCCCTGAGTTTTATGGGCCCTGGGAGCCATATAAAGCCTTCCTGGAGAAGTGAGATCCGGGTAAATAATGAGGTAGGATTTTAGATGGGACCAGGTCTTCTGCGTGCAACCTCAGAGCTTTCTCCAAGCCCCCGAAGCAGCTTCTGACTCTTAGATCTTAATGCATAGGTTTTCAGCCCCTGGCTCTCCTGGGCTGGGACAGGGAGGAGGCCGGAGGTAGTGGCAGGGTCTGGAGTGGTCCTGCCCTAACAGCACTGAGCTCAATGAGGAACGGTGTCTCACCTTGGTCACCTGGTCCCCCTCGTGCCACAGGCAGAAGCCTGAGCACAGCGTCTCCCCACGGCGGTACTCGGGCACCTCAGGGTGCGTGGGCAGCGTGACCGACCTCAGCGCAATGATGTAGGGCTCCCTGGAGGAGAGGCAGGGCCGGAACAGGATGAGGGTCTCCCCAGCCTGGCGTGTGTTCTCACAGCTCAGGGCCAGGCTGGAGAGGAGGCACCGCAAGACCCAGCACAGGGTATCAGGAGCCCGTGTGACCCCTGGGGGGTTTCTGCTGAGGCCTTTCAACCCTGGACATTCTGGGAAGAGTTATGGAGTTTGGTTGGAGACTGGGTCTCGATGTGTAGTTCAGGCTGGCCTGAAGCTCACAGTGATCGGCACAGGCGTGCACCACTGCACCTGGCTTGAGATTTTTGTTCTTCCTCTTCCTGTCCCTGTCTACAGCAGGAGTGAAGCCGTCTGTCCTGGTCTCTGACCCAGCAGAGCTGGCAAGCTCGCTCCCTCCAGCCACATACCCAAGAGGTGGCCATGTGAGAAGTGCTCCATCCGTGACCTTGGGTGAGGCAGCCTGGGCCACCCAGGTCATAGCTGGCCCTGCCTTAGGGCACCAGTGTGCGCCTTTGTCTCCCACTTTACCCCACCAAACCCACAGCAGCCCAGAGCCTTGTGGCCTGGGGTCCCACAGCCAGGGGGAACCAGAGCTCTGACTCTAGGCTGAGCCCACCCCACTGGCCACTCTACTGCAGGCCCGGGAGGCAGTCACCTACCCATTGTCACAAGGCTTCCGCCTCGAGGCCAGGATCACAAAGTCCTGGGGCTTGGCATTGCCGCCGAGTCCAGGGCTGATGACATGGTAGATGGCATCGTCCTCGTCCACCTGCTGCACCAGGTCCACGCTCCTGCAGGGATGCAGCAGTTCAGGGGTGCCGGGCTTCCCATGCCACATGCACACGGCCCACCACCCACTGCCCACCTAGCTTCTGTGCCACACACTTTGCCCTGTGCTGCTCCGCAGAGCTCAGAGTGGGACAACAGGAAGGGCTGGCCAGGGAGACACACAGGGACACACAAAGGTGGGCACACAAGCAGATGCACACAACAAAGAAGCAAGCACACACACATAGAGGTATGTACACACGCAAACACACACAGACCCAGGAACAAAGCCCCATACAGACACTTGCACATGTGGGGACACACTGGGACATAGCGGGTGAGCACACAGATCACGTGTCTGTGCCCATCCAGTGCACACACCCAGAGTAGACATGACAATCTGGAGCTTGGGCTTAATATTTAACGGGCTGGGGATTTAGCTCAGTGGTTTTGTCGCCTGCGGCGCAAGCGCAAGGACCTGAGTTCGATCCCTGGTACCAAAAAAAAAAAAAAAAAGTGAACGCCTACTGTGTGCCAGGTGCTGCTCTAAGTGCCATTCAGTGTTACATCACTGAATCGCGACACCCCACCCCCCACAGTAGGGACACAGCGCCCCCCTTTACAGATGAGGGACACTCGGAAATAACCTGTCCCCAGCCACAAAGCTGGTGAGAAAACAGGGCTGGTGGTAGAGCTGTAACTCGGGGCCCAGCACATGGCACACACATGCCGGGCCCTGTGTCACTACACACACGTGTGCACACAAGGACTCTCACACAGGGTCAGTGACCTGCCCATGCCCACCCCCTTCCTCCAGCCTGCCCTGCACCGGAAGCTGCCTCAAGAGTGTGGCAGTGCCAGGAGAGCCAGGGGTTCTCTCTCCCCTCCACCAGTCCCATCAAGCACCCGGAGCTGACCTGGCCCACATCAGCCTCCTCCCCCGGGCCACCCACATCCCCACCAGTCAGCTCCCAGGTCTTGTTCACTGGCCTGAACCTGGGAGGGGACTCCCGTATCCCTCTGCCTTCCAAGCCCACCCCAGGTGATCCCTGAGGTAATCCCCCATACAGAACACGGCTTGAAAGTCACTCTGAGTGACTTTTATCCCTGAGTGCAAGTCCACAACCCACCTCTCCCCAGGCACAGCTCCACTGAGCTACATCCCCGGCCCTCAAGTACCCGTATTAACACAGGGGAAATTGAGGCCTGGAAAGGAAGTGACTTGCTCAAAAGCACACAGCCAGCAGGGACAGAAACAAGATAAACCTAGGCCTCCAAGTTCAAGCCCAGGCTCAGCATCTTCCCTGAGGGCTCACAAAGCTCACCACCCTGACCCCACCTACACCCAGCCAGCCCACCCGGCTGAGGGACACCACCCACCAGTGTCCAATCCTCACCGGTAGTGCCTGTCCCACTCTGGCCTCCGTCGCAGGTCCGAGAGCAGCAGGAAGGCCTGGGCGGCGTCCACGTGCACCACCATCTCCAGGTGAAAGGACAGGAACTTGTCCTCCTCCAGGGTGTACAGGCGGACCTGCCCCGGGAAACTCAGCCTCAGTCCCACATCCTCCCCGGCTGTGCTGGCTGGGGATGGCCTGCTGGAACCCTGTGTGACTGCCAACAAGTGACTGAACCCCTGGGTCGGTACAGATGGACCCTGAGAGAACGCAGCAGAAATGGACGGTGAGCAGCAACTGAGGCGGCAATGCCATGGACCCTCGGCACTGGGACCCCAACCTAACATCAGAGGTGGAGAAGGGACCCGCCTGGGGGCACAGGCCAGAGTGGCAGAGCTCAGGTCTCCTCAGCCTGTCCACTGCCCCATCCTGTGGTGATCACAGGCTGGGGCATCTCCACTCCAGCCTGGGGGCAGCTGTCTCTAGAGCTCGAGGAAAGGCTCTGAGAGCTCCTGTCGCTGGCCGAAGCCTCCTGTGGCCACTCAGAAGGGACAGGAGATGGGGGCAGACTACCTGGCTGATCTCCGAGGACAGCACCCAGTTGCTCTTGGCCACGAGCATCTTCAGGGAGGATACGTTGTTGTAGCTCAGATAAACCTGGGGAGAGCACACAGGATGCTGCCTCCCCCTGCTTGGCTCCCCGGGGCCAAGGCAGTGCAGGGCATGGGAGAGGAGCAGACCCAGGACGACGGGGTCCCTGGGGAGAGAGCCCTGGGCCTTGGGAGGGGGCTCCGGGCTGGTCCAGACCCCCACTGGCATCATCACCGTGAGGTAGAGGGTTCCCTACAGCCCTCTTCCCTGCTTTGACCAGTGGGGGAGGGCACAGGATGCTGGGGGCCTGAAGACTGTCCCCTCAAAGCAGAGGGCCTTACCTGGTTGCTAGGGTCCCAGGGGACAGAGAGGGGCACCTCGGCCTGCTTACAGGACACGATGTACTTCCTGGAGGGGAGATGACATGCTGGGTCCCTGGGCAGCCTCCTGCTGGCCCCGAGGGTTGAGGCCAGAGGGTGGGCAGGCAGGAGGGAAGGGTTCGGGAGGACCAGGACACGGGTCTGCACGACACCCAGGACAGCCGCTGAGAGCCGGACCTCAGCCAGCTCAGAGGGACAACCTGGGAGGAGGCAGCTGAGGGCTGAGTCCCCACACCTCGCAGAGTGACTTCGCCCTTTCACCTCAGTGTCCTCCTCTGGGAAATGGGGCAGGGTCTCCACCAGGAGCATAGTGCCGACATGTGGGAAGTGCTCCACTGGGGGGCGCCTTTCTCCCTTCCTTCCTTCCTCCCTCCCTTCTTTCCTTCCTTCCTTTTTCTTTCTCTTTCCTTCCTTCCTTCTTTCCTTTTTTTTTTTTTTTTTTTTGAGACAGGGTCTCGTTTTGTAATTCAAGCCCAGGATGCCCTTGAACTCATGGTGATCCTCCTGTCTCAGCCTCCTGAGTTCTGGGATTATAGGGATGCACCACCATACCCAGCTGCCTGTCTTCTTTCTCTTTCTCTTCCTCTTTCTTTCCTTCCTTTTTTTTTTTTTTTGGTAGTGCTGAAGATTGAACCCAGGACCTTCACACTGAGCTGCATTCCCAGACTCCCCTCCTTTTTTTGAGACAAGGTATCATTAAGTCACTGAGTTGCCCAAGCTGTCTTTAAACTTGAGATCCTCCTGCTTCAGCCTCCCAGCCTACTGGGCTTACAGCTCCAGTGCACACTTTCCTGATTCACAGCACCTGTGCACCCAGCATGTTTTCAGCACCCTGCAGTTGTAAAGTGCTCCCACAGCAGAGCCAGACACACCAGATTCATAGCCTGAGCACCTGCATGTCCTCTCTCAACCTGTGTGCCTTTCTCTGCCAATGGAAAGACACAGGATTTACAGTCACCTGGCCCTGGCCAGCTGCTGGTGCCACCTGTCTGTGTGCCAGCAGGAGAGCCACCAAGCCCCTCTGTCCCCTATGTCAGGGCCTGCATTATTTCACAAGCCAGCTGTGAAAGGCGCCAACGTGAAAGGCTGCGTGGATGATAGGGCCCAGCTCAGTGCCCCGCCGGTCCAAAGATGTGGCGGGCCCTGGGGTCACAGCCCCACACACCTGTGCCCCCAGGGCCCGCCCCACTCACCTGTCCAAGCGGATCTTCTTCCTGGCACTGGCCTCACGGTATCGCCGCTCGCCCTCCTGGGGAATAAGCAGGGACCGGCTGCCGTGCACGGACAGCCAGGGAGCCCCCGTTCTGCCCTCCCTGTCCGCAGGGTGGAGGAAGCCCTGCAGCCCCAGCATGGAGCTCAGGTCTCACCGGGGAGCTGGAGTCAAAGCATCCTGGCCAGGAAAATGCTAGGCACCAGCTGCAGCCCCGACTCCCCTGGGGCGCTCTGAGTGACCGTGGGAATGCCACCTCCCCTCACCAGGCCTCAGTGTCCTCCTCTGTCACAGAGGGACCCTCACAGGGCACCATCGCCACTGCCTGTGCACCCAGGCTTTGCTATGCACAGGCCCCTTGGGAAGCCTGCCCACTCCTGGGGCAAACCCAGGAGGCTGCCGCACACTCACTCTCCCCATAGCACAGACGGGGAAACTGAGTCTGAGATGGTGGAGTGGCCTGTTCCAGGTCAGAGTTCAGAGTGGCCTGACTCAGCCCACTCTCATCACCACCACCTCCAAAGTCCCCACTCATGAGCGTGGAAGGCAAGTGTCTATGATTACAGCTACTTGGCAAGCTGAGCCAGGAGAACTGCCAGCTCAAGGTCAGCCTGGGCAACTTAGCAAGACCCTGTTCCAAAATTAAAAGTAAAAGAGATGGGGATGTGGCTCAGTGGCAGAGTGCATGCCTAGCAAGTGCCGGGGAAGGTACTGTTGCTCAGCTCCCCTCGGGCCCCCCCCCCACCACTAGCCACTCCCGTTCCCCTGCTCCACACCACAGGCACGGGCTATCGTGGCTGCACTCGGCCATGACGCAGGCAGGCAGGGTGGGACCTTCCTGGAGAGAGGGCCCTCACCAAGTCACCACCCGGCCCACAGGAAGCAGGGGCAGCCTTTCTTCAGATACACCCTTTGAGCCCAGGCCCCTGACAGTGGCCCCTGCAGGCTTGCTCTCCACAGTGCCCCAGCACCCCACAGACCCAGAGGCAGGGGCTACAGCTGCTCCGCTTCCAGACGGGACTGCAGCTCACTGAGGGCCCCTTCCTTAGACCTGAGGGCGGAGGGGCAGGGAGGGGGCTAGTGTGGGTGGGGCGCCTCCTCCACTTACCCCAGGCTGGGGCTGGATCCAGGGGAGCTTCTGGGGCTGGTCATCTGCGTCCAGGACCACGAAGGTCATGAAGGCGCTGTTGATGTGCCGCCAGTGGGGCTCGGCCTCCTGGCGATAGGCCTCCACGCACACACCCACCTCCATGCTGGCAGAGAGGGGACTGCTTGTGTGCTGGCCGGATGTCCCCAAGGCCACGCCCTCCCCCGCACACTCGCATACACGCATGGTACACACAGCCACGTGCACACACAGGTACACACAAGCATGCACACTCTCTCCTCCAGCTCCTCCAGCGACCTGGACCACAGTCCCACTGGCAGGGCCCCAGAAGTGTCCCTTCCACCCATGTTTACAGACCACCTGCTGTGTAAACCGGCCCAGTCTCAGCCCCATGGGCTAACACCAGGGGAGGGGGTGACAAATAAGGAAGCAAAGAGACACCACGCAGTTCTAACCTCAAAGGGTCCAAGAGGACACAGGCTGCCAGCGGAGGCGGATGGATTAATTAGGAACATCACTCATTACGCAGGTTCCCAGCTCCATTGCTGCCATCTATGCATGTCTTATTATCGTTATTAATTATAAAACAGCAGCCACAGCTGGGCATGGTGACACAGGCCTGGAATCCCAGCATTCTAGGAGGCTGAGCCAGGAGGATCTCAGTTTTGTTTTGGTTTTGGGGGGCGGTGGTTTTTGATACCGGGGATCGAACTTGAGACCTTATGCTTGCAAGGCAGGTGGCGGCACCAGAGCTAAATCCCCAGCTCTGGAAAATCTCAAATTTGAGTATGGCCTAGCCAATTTAGCAAAATCTGATCTCAAATAAAAATAAAAAAGGGCTAGGGATGTAGCTCCCTGTGAAGGCCCTGAGTTCAATCCCCAGTACTGCATAAATAAGGAAATATCCACAGCCACCACTATTCACCATGTCTTAGGAAGTTCTGTGATCACAGAATGTGGACTTTATACAAACGGGGAACCCAAGGCTGGGACAGGGCAACAATTTGCCCAAGGTCACCAAGCCAACCGGAAGCGGGTCTGATAGCCACCAAACCTGTGCTGGGCAGACTGCACCTGCCAGCCCGGCCTGACCCACGGAGGGGATGCAGGGAGCTCGAAGTACACCTGAGACAGCAGACCCACAGACAGGGGAGCCCAGAGGAGGGGACCCCGACCGGCCAGTGGGCCTCGGGGAGCACAGAAGGGTCCTGAGGAGCTGTGTGTACCAGTGTAGATGCGGGGGCTGGGCCCAGCCAGGGTGCCCTCGGCTCCCACCCCTCACCTGTGCTTGAAGGCGTTGTTCACGATGGCCTTGAGTACCAGGCGGTCCCCAACCTGGGACGGCCCCCGGAAGTGGAACATCTCGATGGCCTTCAGTGTGGGGTGGGCTCGGCAGAGGCGGCTGAGGGGACAGGAGAGACGCCCCCAGGGCTGCAGGGCCAGCCTTCTCCCCTATCCCAGCCTGGAACCTCGTGTGCTGCTGGGGACCCAGCCCAGGGACAGCTCTGGTCAGAGGGCAGTGTTAAAGTCCCCGCTCACAGCTTCGATACTGGTCTACATGCAGGGCTGGGAAGGAGCAGAGTCGGGGACAGCAGAAAGAAGCCCAGGACAGTCCCCTCTTCCTCCAGTGTCTGCCCCTTAACACCTGCTGTCCCACCGCCTGGAAGTCTCCCCTCCCCAAATCTCCTGTCATTCAAAGCCGAAGTGCTCCCCCTCCAGGAAGCCTTCCCTGACTCCCTGATCTCACCCAGCCCTGAGATCATCATACAGGACTCCCAGCCCAGGCTTCGGAATAGCACTGCTTCCTCACTGTCTCCCCCCGTCAGTCGCAGAGCTCAGGCTGCCTGGCAAGACCCCAAGGATGGGAAGAATCACCTAGCAGAGGAAGGCACAGAGATGGAACAGCAAGGACAAAGTCATGGAGGCTCAGGAGTGTCAACTCGTGAATGGCAGCTGTCCTACGATGCTTAACAGCCCTGAACAAGGGCAGAACGCCCCAGAGCAGAAAAAAACATCGCTTTCACCGCTAGGAGGAAGGGAAGAGTCAGGGGCAGCTTGGCCCAGACAGGAGGCGGCAGACAGAGCACAGTGGGCTGCAGGATGTCACACACGGAGAAGCAAGGCAGGGCCAGAAGGGGCAGCTGGGACAGGGAATGGCCAATGGCTGATTCCAAGGAGCACATTTACTAGGAGGAGTGTGGGCAAGGCCAAATTAAGTAAGGGTTTCTGTTTGTTTGGTTTTTGGTTTTGCAATGCTAGAGATTGAACCCATGGCCTGGTGCATGCTAGGTAAGTGTTCTACCACTGAGCTACATCCCCAGCCCAAAGCTGATCAAGGGGAGGCTTGCCCAGGAGGTCAAGGGGACTGTGGTGGAATTTATGAGTAGAAGAATGAATGGCCAGCTGCCAGGAAATCATTTCTTTCAGGGAAAGCCCTGGGAAACCCTAACAGAATAGCCAAGCTTCTGAAGCCTTGAATGCCACCACCAGAAGGGGTTTCTCCTGTCCAGGGACCGCCAAGGGGAGGAGAGAGGAAGCAGGCAGAGCCCTCACCTGGCCGCAATGGTGGCCACATTCTCCATCCAGGCCATGATCTGGCCCCCAAAGGTGTTGCCCTGGTGATTGGCATGGGGTGGCAACACCAGCTCCACACTCTCCACCCGGGTCTTCTCGGCTGGCACCATCCGGCTGCAGTCCTTGCTCTCGGGGTCTGACCAGGGTAGGAGGCGGGAAGGTGAGCAGGTTCCCCGGGGCAGGTCCCCCCAGGCAGTCCTGGGGCCCCATGCCACCCTGGGTCTCTAATTACTCAACACTGAGTGAGCAGGAGGCACAGGCCAGCCCTGGGTAAGGAACAGAGGACACGGAGGAGGGACACAACCCTGTCACAAGCAGTGGACAGGACCCCCACTTTGAGTGTAGCCCCCGGTCTGAACCCCAGCTCTCCCCACCCAGGGTGTATGACCTTGGGCCAAGCATGTCACCCCTCCAGGCCGCACCTGCCTCCTACATACAGTGCAGGCGTCGATTCCATTCCAACAGCACTCACACATGCTCCAGGTGAAGGGTGGCTGGGGTTAGAGGGGTCATACGGCGGGTGGCCCCACACCTCACGGCTATGCCTCAAGACAGCTCTTCCCACCCCTGCCCAACCATCCCCTGTGCCCTGACATCCCCTGCCCTTCAAGGTGAGAACATCCTCAGCAGGACAGGCCAGACGATGAGTAGGGCCTTGGGCTTCTGGCAGCACATGCTGACACAGCCACCCAACCTAAGCTGGTGCCATGTGGAGTGGGCACAGGGACAGCTAGGCCAGGAAGCAGGCGATGGCACAGGGACAGCCCAGGACAGGAGGGATTCAGCGGGGCTGCAGTGGGATGGATGGGACCCAAGGGGGCTGAGGACTTGGAGCTCATGCAAAGGAGATCTTCATGTGCTGATTCGGAACCAACTCCAAGAGGCATTTTAGGGAGGAAATCAAGCTGCAGAACAGTATGTCCTGTTGCTCCCTCTTGGGTAAGAACAGGGGGCTAAATTAGACATTGAATGCTCAAATATTCAGGGAACACTTCTGGGAAGATATTCAAAACCAGGATCTAGGTTCTGGGACAGGAGGGAGTCTCACTTCCTATCTGTGTCTTCTTTGGGAAATGGGAAATACGCACACACACAGATGCGCAATGCTTTTCCAAACTCCTACCGAATCTCATGGCTTACCTTGGCACCACCTTCCCAAGCACCTCGGCCCTGAAACTGAAATGAACGCTGTGGCCAGTGAAGGGATTTCCTATGTCCTCACTCGTTCTTCCGGGTCCTGGCCACTGGGGGAAAACCCCAGTACCTCCTTTCCTGGAGGAGACCCCAGGTCCAAGAGGGGCCTGGGAACGCTGGGGCAGGGATTCTTCCCCTGTCTGATCGGGGGGCCTAGGCAGCTGCACCCTCCCTGTGCTCACAGCTGCCGCTCACCCTCCTTAATGGTGCAGTTGGCCAGGAGGTCTTTGATGGTGTCCGCGTAGAGCAGCCGCATGCGCCGGCGCTCAGCAGCCACGCTGTGCTCTGTCTTCTCCTCCTCTGTGCGCGGGTTGATCTGTTTCAGCTTTACCTGGTGGCCCGGGATGGTGGGGTACTCAGGACAAGTGTCCTGGAGCAGCACAAGGCCTGTCTCCCAGCCCTCCCCCACTCCTAAGGCCGGTACCCTCTGCTGGGCCCCTCCCCGCCTGCTTCCATCTGGACTGCTATGTCCTATTCATCCTCCACTCCCCCGAAGCCCTCCTTGGGCAACGGACCCAGAGAACAGAGGGTCACTGTGGAACTCGAGGCTCTTCTGAGGCTCTTCCCACCCGTGACGTGCAGGGGGAGGTGAGGAAGGAGGGCCCTGGGGCTGGGCGGCCAAGGTGTCCTCTCTGAGCCTCCCATGACAGGCAGCGCTGAGCGGTGGCAGCAGTCAGCTACCTTGGACAGTTGCTGGTGGGCCACAAAGGTGGCCAGGGCCTTGCACACAGTCCACTGCTTCTCAGAGCACAGGTCTTCAGAGGTCACCTGGATGCCCACCTGGAGAGGAAGTGGAGCCGAGAGGCATGAGGAAGAAACAGTCCACGACATCGGGGCCCCAGGTGGACGAGATGGGAAACGCCAACCAGGCCCAGGCTCTGTCTTTCTGTATCACCTGCCAGGTCTGGAAGGCCAGAGACCCGGGTTGGTTCTGGCTCTGCTCCCGGCTCCCCGGAGCACCTGGGCCAAGTCCCTTCCCTTCCCTGAGCCTCAGTTTCCTCATCTGTAAAGGATACTGAGAAGACTAAAATGACACAGCCCATCAGGGGGTTTCAGGAAGTAACATGTTGGTGAAATTTAAAGGATGGACCCCTAGGGGCTCCTGGGGGCCCCTGGGCACTTATGGGGTGTCCAGAGGCACAGTGGGCCTTTGTGAGCTCTCAGGAACTGAAGGCTGGAGGAAGCCACTTAGGCCTCAGTCCGTGGGCGAAGTGGAAACTCCGCCAGAGCTCAGAGCCCTCACCTCCCCAGAAAGTCCGCCCACCAAGCCTTCCACTTCCCTGCAACAGAAGAGTATGTTCCCATTTTACAGATGAGGAGACAGAGGCCGTGTGAGGTGAGTCACCAGCCAAAGCCCAGCACTCTCCCTGCCTCCCCACCAGACCCAGCAGCCGTCTTCCCTCCATTACCCTGACACCTGCTGCTAGAGACAGGACCTGGGCCGGACCCCCAAGTCCCTGCCCACACCAGAGGCAAGTCCCTGCCCCTTCCTGGGCCTCCATTTCCCCTCTGTGCTGTGGGATGGTGGTTAGGAAGATCTTTGGCTCCTCCTGGCCCCGCCAGCCTTTCAGGACTCTGCTACCCCAAGCAGTGCCCTGGACATGAATGCGCCAGGCCTGGGGCTGTAGGAAGGAGGAAGACGACAGCCCAGCCCCACCCCGTGGGGCCCCCACACACCTCCATGCTGGAGTTGAAGGCCCGGTTCACCTTGGCCTTGATATTCACCACTTGTCCGACACTGGGGAGAGGAAAGCAGGAGGTGAGCCTTCCCGAGGGCACAGGGGAGGGACAAGAGCCTCTGCTAGGGCTCTGGAAGGGACCTCAGGGCTCGCAGAGCATGGTCACACCTGCAGTGTCACCGAGTCCTCCGAGCAAGCCAGCAAGACAGGGTCTGCACCCCGTTTCTCAGGGGGGGAAGCTGAGGGTGAGCGCAGTGGCCCGATTTTACTCACACCCCCTTCTCTCCCTCCTTCCCTGCTCCGCTGGTCCAGTGAAGGCTGAGCTTCTTGCCCCTCCCCCTTGCCTCCTCAGGCTGCACCCCTGCCTTCGGTACCACTCAGGAGACACCCCCGGCCTCGTGCCTCTGGCCCTCACTGTCCTAAGCTGCACAGGGAAGAGCAGGAGTGTTCTGCTGTTTTCATGGTGCTGGGGATGAGCCCAGGGCCCCAGGCACGCTAGCCAAGCACTCTACCCCCGAGCTGCACCCCTGACCAAGCGACCCTGTGCTTCGCCCACTGTGACTCCCATGGCCTAGCACATCACCCAGGGTGGGTCCTCCATACCCCGGGCCGGCTGAGTTCAGGACTCCTGCCCTGTCCACTGAATGCAAAGGATGGAGAGAAGGTGGACAGCGAATGGAGGCACTGAGAGAGCACCTGCTGCGTGTCTAGCACGGCACGCAACCTCAATCGAGCCTCCCCCCACAAGCTGGGCAGATAGGTTTAGGAGGACTGGGCATCAGAGGTTAAGGCATCTGTCCAAGGCCCCCAGCTCAAAAGCAGCAGAGCTGGATCCTAGACTCACTGTGTGGTCTACCAGCCCCACACTCTCTGACTCAACCTGTCGCCCTGGGATGACCCCCACATCCGCATTTGTCCCCATGAGGCCACCTAGCCTACCTAGAGGCAGCACAGAGTATCCAAGGCTGTGGGGGGCAGGGCCAGGAGGCTGAGCGACACTGAGAAGTCCTCTCACCTCCGCACCTCGGCTCACGCTCACAAGCATGGAGGACATGGTGGTGACTCTTATTCTTCAAATAACACTACTGCCTCCTGCCCAAGACTGGGAAGGTTCCTTCCAAGGGGCCTCATGGTCACACACGGGCTTCGGTTCCGTCAGGCTCTACCCTGACTGCGTCTCACCGTGCCATGTGACCCTGGGGCAATCCCTTCACCTCTCTGCATGTTTTTTCATGTGTAAAGTGTAGAGAATGCACGACTATTGCCCGTGCTGCTAAGTGTCCGTTGTGAGGCAGCGTGACCCAGCCATGTACCAGGCCCAGCCAACCACAGGAGCTCAGTGAGTTAGACTTGCTCATGTTGGCCAACGCTGGCTGATCGCTATGAATGTTTTCAGCAGGAGTCATGATTATGATGCAAAGAAAGGGTGTGCTTTAGGAGATACATGCTGAGGAATAAAGTATCAGAGAGAGAGAATGTCTTTATCTATATAGAGATAAAGCAAATTTAGCAAAATGTTAATTATTGGCTTTTAGTAATGATCACCATTTCACTGGACTTTCTTGGGAGTTGTTTTTTTTTTTTTTTTGGTACCAGGGATCGAACTTGGGACCTTATGCTTTCGAGGCAGGTGGCATAACTACTGAGCTAAATCCTTGGCCCTGGAAGTTGTTATGATTAAAAATTAAAAAGAAGAAATTCTATGGTGTGCCTCAAAGTACAGCAGTCTCCCCACCTTATCTCTGGTTTCAGTTAGCTGCAATCAACTGTGGCCTGAAAATATTAAATGGAAAATTTCAGAAATAAGCAATTTGTAAGGTTTTTGTTTGTTTTTTGGTACCGGGGATCGAACTCGGGACCTTGCACTTGCGAGGTAGGTGCCGGAACCACTGAGCTAAATCCCTGGCCCCAAATTTGTAAGTTTTAATAACATTTATTAAAGTATATTGTTATAATTATTCTATTTTGCTATTAACTATTGTAGTTAATATCTTCCTATGCCTAATTTAAACTTTATCATAGTTTTGCATGTATAGGAAAAAACATCATCTAGGGCCAGGGATTTAGCTTAGTGGTTTTGCCGCCTACTGCTCAAGCGCAAGGACCTGAGTTCGATCCCTGGTACCAACAAAACAAACAAAAAAACCCCATCATCTGCATGGGGTTTGATACTATCCACAGACTCAGGTACCCACTGAGTGTCTTAGAACACAATCCTATAAGGGGCTGGGGATTTAGCTCAGTGGTTCCGCCACCTGCCTTGCAAGCAAAAGGTCCTGAGTTCAATCCTCGGTACTGCAAAAAAAAAAGAACACAATCCTGCAGATAAAGGGGGACTACCATAAAAATTAAAGTTCATTTTCTATAGCACTAAAAGAGATCTGGGTGGTAGCTCAGTGGCAGAGCACTTGCCTAGCATGTACAAGGCCCTAGGTTCAATCCCCAGCACCACTAAAAGAGAGATATGGTCCGAAAAGAGAAATGCATGACTCTTCCACACATTGCTCCCTCTCCCCTCCTCCTCTCCAGTGCCCCCAAAGCCAAGCAGACAACCATTCAGACTGTGGAGCTTCTTTCTTTTTCTGACTGCCCTCCATTCCTAGGGCTCAGACCACACTGATCACCACCCTGCCTCCTCAGGGACCCCCATGAGCCTCCAGCTCCCCAACGCTTCCAAGTGTTCCTCCCAATGTAGAGAGATGACTCCATAAAGTAACCTGACCCCATAAAGTAACTAAGCCCCTCCTGGTGACCAATTCACACCCAAGGGACAGAGGAACATGTTCAACTACGCCACGGTGATGCTTAAGGCAAAACCCAGAAGACAGAGCCGTCTGGGGGAAGAGGAAAATGACCATGTCTCCTCAACAACTAAGTGGAGAGAAGGGGTGGGTAGCAAAGGGGAAGTACCTGTAGATTTTTTTTTTAATCTGGACATACCAACCAGTAGACTTGCAAGTTTATTTGCATTCTGATTGGAATAACAATAACTATAAAGCAAAACAAAATAAAACCACCTCATAAGACAGTGTGAGCATCTGAAAACTGACCAGATATTGATGTCAGTGAGAAATGTTGTTAATTTTTTTAGGCATGGTGATGCTGTGGAAGTTAATGGTTTTAAATAGTTAGTAGTCCTTAAGATACATTCAGAAATTTGGTGATTTTTTTTTGTTGCTGTTGTTGTTCTTGTTGTTTTTTGGTTTTGCTTTTTTGTAGTACTGGGGGTTGACCCCAGGGTCTTCCCACTGAGCTACATCCTCAGCCTTTTCTCATTTTTTATTTTGAAATAGGGTATCACTGAGTTTCCCAGGCTGGACTCGAACTCGTGAATTTCCTGCTTCAAATTCCCAGAATGCTGAGATTAAGCCACCATATCCCAGCTGGGAAATATTTTTAAACAACAAGAGCAGAAATGAACAAAATCCCCCAGCTAACCACAGGTGTGCCAGGCCCCTCCGGACCTTCCCTTCTCCCAGGATCTTCCCCACCCCTCCTCTGCCTCACCTTCATCCCTGGGAGCTCCCAGAGGTTCATGCATTACCCACGTGCCCCCAGCCCTTTCAATCCCTGCTCCTCCAAGGAAGGTACCCAGACAAGGCCCCACAGGCCTCCAAAGTGTCACTGTGCACAGAGCTGACGGTACTGGACCAAGCTCAAACTTCCTCCAAGAAGATCCCATTGACCACCCCCACATATTTGGGAAATGTAGGCCACTTGCTAAGAGCAAAAGCTCAGGGGCCAAACTAGCTCCTAGTAGGGTATCCTCAGTTCTCCACTAGCTGACCTTAAGCAAGCTACCTCACTTCTTGCAACTCAGTTTCCTCCTCTGTAAAACAAGGATTCTAGCTCTGACTTTACAGTGATGTTCAGAGGATTAAATAAGTTCATGTATAAAAAAGCCTTCCAAACAAGCTATCAACACTGGTTCATTAATTGTCACAAAGATACCTTCTAGATGCAAGGTGTTAATAATAAAGGGAAGTGAGTGTGGGGTGTATGGGAATTCTACTGTCTTTAGAGATACAACCTTTTTTGTCAATCTGAAACTATTTTAAAATAAAAAAGTACTTAGAACAGGATGAGAAAGCACTCATATGTCAGAGCTCATTGTTGGGGTAGAACTGCCTGCTTTTTTGTGGTTGCTGTTGTACAGGGCTGGGAGTCAAGCCCAGGGCCTCGCACTTGCTGAGCACATGCTCAGCTCCAGCCCCAGCCCCAGCTTCCCACTCCGAGTGGAAATGATGCTTCTCCAGCTGCCTCCCCTGTGCCCCGGGAGCTCCTAGAACAGAGACTGCTCCCCAAGCGGAAAGATTCCCACCTAACAGTAAGTACGTAGTGAAGGATGACCAGGTAAGGACAGGTTGCGACCACACACGCTCCTTAACCAGGACACAGAGCACCCGGCAGTCCGGAATAAGCCTCGGCACTTGATAGCCTAGGTACTGAAAGTGAGTTAGGGACAGGCCCAGAGGTAGAGCTCTGAGCACACTCGCTGCAGCCTGTGCTGTCCTGGGCGCCTCACGCCCCAGAAGTAGGACCAGTACTGAGGGCAAAGCCATGGGAGCCAGGCTCCGTGCAATGTGATGAAGACCTTCCCTCCCTCTTTCTTCTTTCTTTCTTTCTTTCTTTCTTTCTTTCTTTCTTTCTTTCTTTCTCTCTCTTTCTTTCTTTCCATTTTTTCAGTACCCAGGGCTTCACACATGTTAGAAAAGTGCCCTACCACTAAACTACAGAGATTTATTAATTTATTTTTGCTAAATCCCACGTTACCCAGGTTGGGCTCATACTTGCAATCCTCCCACTCCTAGCTTAGCCTCTTAGAATGCTGGGATTATAGATATGCACCACTTTCCAGCCAGTATAGCCATACAAAATAATAACTTCAACAGGTCTAAAGGCCTGCTTTGCTATGAGCTCCTTCACTACCTGCAGGTAGGTGGACAGAGGCTGACTGGTCCAAGCCTCCAGCTCTGGCCTCACCATGGCACCTGCCTGGAGGTCTCCCTGAAGTCCTGTGACCCAGAGAGAATGTCTGAAAACAAAGGCCCAGAGACAGAGACTGACTTTCCCAAAGCCACACAGCACTCCAGCAAGTCCAACTCCAAACCTGAAGCAACTTTTCTGGCCCCATCCTGGCTAAGGGAGCCCCCTACCCCATGGCACCAGGAAGGGGTCAGCTCCAGAGCACTGCTGTTCAGAGACCTGCAGACCTCTGCCCCCAGAGGCTGCCCTCATTCTGTTCTCAGAGGCCAGGCTCCAGGCAGTGCACAGTCTGATCAGGCTTATGAGGAGAGAGCAGAAGGAGCCAGAGCAGGAGGGGTCACTCACCTAATGGTGTGCTCAAAATAGATGTCGTCCATGGAGGCTGTGACACAGGGGCAGCCCGCGTGCCTCTCCGCTGGCAACGGGAGAAGAAAGCCAGATGTTAGCAGCCTCCCACATCACACAGGCCTCTGGTCAAATGCCACCTCCTCAAGGACTTGTCTGGCTGCCAAGCCCAGGGCACCCCCACCTGCCTTCTTTCTGGTCCTTCACTGCCACCCTGGTCTGTGTTTTATACCTCAGTTCCACCTGTCTATTGTCCTTCCTTTCAGCTAGGGTGTGAGTTACACGAGGGCTGGGGGATTTGCCCGCCTTGTTCATGGCTGTACTGTCACCGCCTGCCACACAGCAGACCCTCATCAGTAGCTGTGGACTGAATGAGCGACCATACCGTGCTGTCCTAGTCCCGTCTTCTCAGACACCAGAGTCTTTACCCAGCTTCCTTGCCTGAGTCCCTCTCACCTTCAGGACCCTGCTCAGGTCCCTGAGCCCCTCTGCAGACCCTTCCCTATCCCCAAGGCTGGTTTAAGGACTTTCAATGGTCCAGGGGGACAGTAGGGTCACTTTTGTGTCCTGCATCCCCACCCCAGCAGCCTTCAAGCTCCCTGAGAACACTGGTAAGAATACTGTTCCAACCAAAGGAACAAAATGAGCTCAGCTCAGATGGGAGAATGGAGAACATCAGGCGGCCCAACCCTGGTCTCAGCTTGGCACCTTCGAGCCAGTCCTGAAGCCACCAGGTCTAAGGCTGCAGGGAAGCTGGGACTCAGGGCGTGGCCCAGGCACCAGGGGCTGTGGGGCCTGGGGACAGGGCCAGGCTGCCCCGACCACTAAAAAACTTTGAGGACACTTCAGGCAGGTGGACCAGGATGAGCAAAGGCCAGGAAGAGGAACAAGTGTGGCACCCAGGGGTACAGTGACATCTCTGAAAATGGAGCCCTCTGCCCTGGACCAGGGCCTTACCAGACAGGTAGGCCGTGGTGTCAATCCACTTGAGCAGCTGCCCGATGCTCAGCTCACCGCGCAGGTTGGTATGGCAGGGCAGCACCAGCTGGCTCATCTGCACCTCCGTGGGGTTCCGGTCACCCTCGCTGTTCGCCATGGTATCCTCGTCCCCGGCACGGGAGACCGACTTCCGGGATGTGCGGTTTGAGAACACGGAGGCAAAGCTCTAGGGAGCAGATGGGGACACAGAGGTGAGCTCTGCCCAACTAGAGACCCAGGGCCTGAAGGAGAGGAGCAGCAGCCCAGAGCCACCACCCTCCAGCCCATGTCAGAGCCTGAGGCTCTCTGGACGTCACCTAGGCCTTGTTTTCCATTTTTTTTTTTTGGTACCGGGGATTGAACTCGGGTCCTTGCACTTTCAAGACAGGCGGTATAACCACTGAGCTAAATCCCCGGCCCACCTAGGCCTTGTTTTCTTCTGGCCCACAACTGTAACAACTCCAAGGTGGTGAAGGGAAAGGAGGGAAGAAGACAGAGAATCTACTTCCTCGCTTCGGTTCGGGGCTCCCTCGTTAGTTTTGCTTCAGATGGACCTCCATTCCTGAAGATACCCGTCTCTACAAAATGTGGGAGTGACACACAGTGTAATCGGATGTCACCTAGGCCTTAAAAAGGAAGGAAATTCTAACCATGCCCCAGAATGGATGAACCTTGAGGACAGAATGCTAAGTGAATAAGACATGCCAGTTGCAAAAGGACAAACGTGTGATTCCATTCTTGGGAGGTATTTAGAGAAGTCAGATGCATCCAGTCAGAAAGTAGAATGCGTGGTAATAGCCAAGGGTAAGGGGAGGAGGGAATGGAGAGCTACTGCTTAATGGGTTCAGAGCTTCAGTTCGGGAAGATGAGAAAGTTCTGGAGATGGTTAGCAGTGATGGTTCCCACATTCAACATGAATATACTGAATGCCACTGAACTGTACACTTCAATATATTTTAAATTGAGCCAGATATGGTGGTGAGCACCTGTAATCCCAGCACTCTGGAAGACTGAGGCAGGAGGATCACAAGTTTGAGTCTAGCCTGGGCAATTTAATGACTTAGCAAGACTGTCTCCAAATAAAAAATAAAAAAGGGCTGGGGATGCAGCTCAATGTGAAGGCCCTGGGTACAATCCCCAGTACCGCAAAAATAAAACTAATGTTTAAAATGGGCCACCGTGTTCTCTTGCATAGTGCCCACCCTCACGCTGTAGAGTGTACTTCTTTTCCTACTTTTACTTGGCCCAAACTTGCTCTGCAGAGCCTGTTTCCTTTCCTACTTTTTTTTTTGGTACCAGGGATTGAACTTGGGTCCTTGCGCTTGCGCAGCAGGTGGAGAAACCACTGAGCTAAATCCCCACCTCCCCTTTCCTACTCTTAATAAATGTAAAACTTTGTGACCGTTTGTGCTTGTCGTAACCAATGCTTTGTTCAAGACAGAAAGAACCTAGAAACCACCTCTAGGAGACCTCAGCATCCCAAACCCAGTAGCATATTTGGCCTAGCCAGCCAGGAGGCGCTGAGGGACTCAGGAAGGTCTCTCGTGGAACGGAAACAGCTCCCTAGGGTCCCACCATGAGGATGGGGGTGGGGCTTGCGTGGCCCATTTTTCCCGGCTGAAACTCAGGTAATTTAGAGGCATATGCATGGCTTGAGCAGAACAAAGGAACAGCCAGTAAAAGCTCAATTCAAGGGGCCATTTTCTTTTTCTTCAAACCAGCCAATGAGCCACAGTACACCGAGCTAAAAGAGAACACATAAGGGCCGAGGATTTAGCTTAGTGCTGCAGCCGCCTGCCTCACAAGCACAAGGTCCTGAGTTCGATTCCTGATACCAAAAAAAAGAAGATTCTATTTTTTTCCTTATAAGCTGATTATCTCAACTTATTTGGTATTTGTTACAGTCATGAAAGCTGACTAATGCCCCTGTATATAATACAATTAATTTCTAAAGATTCTTCTGACATTACTTGAGCATTTAATAAACATGAAAAGTTATTCACAATGATTAGAGCCCCAGAGAAGAGGAAATGAGGAGAACTCATACAATGAAGAAAGGGCCTTAAGTGAAGCCTGGATGTTTTTACGATCAGGGTAATTTAATTTGTAAAAGAACAAAGGTTCTGTGGGTATCTGATTACCAATTAATCTCTTCCTGCTTAAATCAAGAAAAAACAAACCTTTGGAAAAAATTCTTACCTATATTCAAGCAGACATTTTAGATTGCCAATTTGGTTTTTCATTTTCATGAAATTTCATTGTTTAGCTTGAAATTGAAAAGACTATTTTCAATGTAAAATATCGAATAATAATAAAAAAAGAAATAGGGAAGGGTGGAGGGGGTAAAGGGTGCACAGGTAATGGGAAAAAATAAGAACTAAGATACATCATGTACAGGTACAAGCACACAATGATAAATGTAAACATATTGTATACCTAAAATGTACCAATAAAAGAATTTAAGGAAAAAAAATTAAAATGAAAAAAAAAAAGAAAGAGAGAGAGCACATAACCCCCAGGAGCTAGGGCCTACAGCCCCTTCCAGCAGAAAGTAGCTATATGAAGACAAAGACCTCCACTCAGCACCCCACAAAGAATTCTGGGGATTTGGTCTCTCAGGGGGAAATGAAGCAGGAGACCAGGGTGTGGCAAAGCTGGCTGAGGAAGCAGGCAGGACTTGTTAATTACAGAACCCTGGGACACACTGCAGAACAGTTCCCAAAGCCGTGCACACACGTGGACTTCTCACAAGAACTCGAGCAGGTTTTCCTGGACAACCCAGACCTAACATCAGCCTGAGGCATAGACCATCCGCATTGAGTTTTCGCCACTGTGTCCTCTGGCATGGTGGTCCACCCTCACACTGTAGGGTGTACTTCTGGGTTGTTGTTTTTTAATAAATTTTATTTTATTTTATCCCATTCCCTCCCCTCAATCCCCCTTGTACTTCTTTTCCTACTTTTACTTGGCCCAAACTCCCTCTGCAGAGCCTCTTTTCCTACGTCTAATAAATGTAAAACTTGTTACTATAGGGGCTGGGGATTTAGCTCAGTGGTTTCGCCGCCTGCTGCTCAAGCGCAAGGACCCAAGTTCGATCCCTGGTACCAAAAAAAAAGCAAGACCTACCCAGAGAAAGAGAGAAAGGAAGGGAGGGAGGGAAGGAAGGAGGGGAAAGAGAGAAAGGGAGGGGGGAAGGAGAGGAGGGAAGGGAAGAAAGGAAGGAGGAAGGCAAAGCCCCTCCATGCAGGGAGCCCAAGGGCCAGTGAGCCTGCAGCAGCGACAGTGCTGGCACAGTCCCGCATAGGCCTCCCTGCCTCCGGGTGCTGCAGAGGGCAGAGGCAGGAGCACCTCTGGTGCACTAGCATCCTCACCACATGGGTCTTTGTCCAGGAGGGCTCTGGGCAGCCACTGCCCGGCGGTCCCATCCGGGGCAGGTCTGCAGCAGCTGCCAGCTGGGAAAGATCTCAAACACCTGCGTGAGAGGTGCGCTTCTCCAGGCAGAGCAGGGGCCCCTGACTGCTCCTCTCTCTGGGCTGCCCTTTGACTCTAACTGTGGACTCAAGACAGACACGTGGGTTCTAATTCTCACAGCCAGGGCCAGCCGTGTGGTGGCAATGAGTCACAGGCAATGTCTACACTTAAGTGTCATAAATTCCTCTAAGCACTTGACATGTTCTCAGTCCATTTTATTCATACAACAAACCCTTGAGACAGGTACATAATTCTCAACTTACAGATGAGAAAATTGAGGCCCTGGTAAGTGGCAAAACCAGACTGCGGTACAGAGGCCTGGCTGAGAGTCCGAGCTCCTGCCCACCACACTGGCCACCTGCAGGGCCTCCTGGGATAGAGAGGAGGAGGAGGCAGGACCCTGCACCTCCAATACCACAGCAAATGGCAAGCTGGCCAGGCAGCGAGTCCACCCGGCTGCAGGGTGGGAGTGGTGCTGGTCCCCTGTCGGGGTCTGCATCCTCTGGACCATTGCCCCAAAAAGATCCCACAGCCAGTTCAATAAAAACTTAAAAACTCAAAAGACACTGCAGTGACTTGGTCAACGTCCTGGACCCCTACTAGGATTTGCACTAAGATTTGCACCAGGCCTGTCTGACCCAGAACTGCTTGAGATTCCCAGAGGTACTGCAGCCCATTCCTGAGAGCCGCTGGGTACCAGGAACAGCACTGGACACCAAGGGGAGAGACAGCAATGGCCCCAGAGCTCTCAGCGTGGATGGAGACCAGCAGGGTGCCAGGCTGCCCAGCTTTCAGGCTCTGGTAGGCAGCTTGAAGGCCACTTCAGTCCAGGCAGCAGGACCCGTCGCCATAGCAACTACTGCAGAGTATTTCCAGCCTGGCTGTGCACTGGGGCCCACTTGGATGTGGATGCGGGTGGTTGGCTTTCTGGGTGTGGGAGCCAGAGAGGGAGGAGACAGGCAGGCCACATTTACCCACACTCTTCCCAAACCCTCAAAGCCAGGAGTTCTGGGAAAAATAGTCCAGGAAGAAGCCCTGGGGAGAGCTAAGGAGACATGGGAGGCAAGATGCAGAGGATGAGTAGGCAGAACAAAGGGGCAGGCATCCAGAGTTCTGGGTGGGCTGGACATGCACCCTGGGAGACCACTTGGCCATACCCACATCCCAGGTCCTCACAAGGAAGGTGGAAGGCCAGGACTGTTAACCCATCTTACAGATGAGGAAACTGAGGATGGACAGGGCCTAGGCCAGCAGGCAGCACGCCTGAGCTCCAGTCCTCTTCCTGCTTCTCCTCCGTCACCCTCACTCCTGAAAGCCACCTGCTTCCTGTACTGGGAAGCAGAGTCCCAGCTTCCCAATGGACTCCATGTGCCTGCAGGCAGTATTCCTGTCTCCTTCCTTTCTTCCTTCACTAAGCACCTCCGCTGCCCTGGGCTCTGGGCCAGCTGCCAAGAATACAAAGACAAAGTAGGCCTAGAAGGACCCGGCACACAGTAGGGCCCCATCCAGAGTTTGCAGTGGGACAAATAGAGGCTGGCCTGAGTGCAGAGCCCAGCCTGTCCTGAAGACTGCCTGATCCTGAGAAGGCCTCCCTTTCTGAGACACAGCTGGCCCTAAGGTACCGCAGGCCTGCCTGGGCCCAGGATTCCAGGCCTAACCCTGCAGAGCCCTGTCACCTGTCAGCACTGTCACTGGCCCCTCCAAGGAGAGCTTCAG